GCAATTGATCACATCAGTGAGTTGTTTTTTTGTTGTTGTTTCTTCTTTTTTACTTAATCAAATTGATTGAGCATTTAATGATATATAGGGCATTTTTGGAATAGTAAGAATATTGTAATGGATTCCTTGTTTTGCCAGTGTTGTAGTTTAAGTAATTATGTGATGATATAAATATTTAATTATCTTACATTTAGTTGGTTAAGTGTAGTCAATACTTGATTCCTTCTTTCTTTCATATATGTTAAATTTTTCACCTGTTTTAGGTATACGGCAACTTCAATGTATACTGTTGAAGGTAGCATTGCTGTTAGGTGTGGAAATTTATGAAAATGTAAGCTTTGAAGAGCTCACAGAACCTCCAGAGGACCAGAATGAAAGTTAGTATTGAAATGTATTTACTTCAAAGCTGAAAAGAACCTAATACATGCATATCCTTATACAAATTTTGGTATCATAGTGTCTGTAGAGTTATTTTCTATGTATTTTTGTTGATATGAATGTTTTGATGCAGTGTTTTAATGTGCCTAAACTTGTTCTAGAAATTGGATGGCGAGCCAGACTCAGCCCCCCAGACCATCCTGCCAATCAGTACGAATTTGATGTCCTCATTGGCGCAGATGGCAAAAGGAACACATTACATGGATTCAAGAGAAAGGAATTCCGTGGCAAATTGGCCATTGCTATTACAGCAAACTTCATCAACAAACGCACAGAACTCGAGGCTAGAGTGCAGGTAATAATTATGGTATTATTAATATGTAATGTCTTTGTTATATCTTAGGCTGATGTGTTGATATGATTGGTGCTATAATTTTTATTCATAAGAGAAAGAAATATGGTAATATATATGATTGTTATGGACTTTAATTTAACTTTTTTTTTATAGGAAATCAGTGGAGTAGCTTTCATCTTCAATCAGAAATTCTTCAAGGAGCTATATGCAGCTACTGGCATTGACCTGGAGAACATTGTGTACTACAAAGATGAAACACACTATTTTGTGATGACGGCAAAGAAACAGTCACTTATTGAAAAAGGAGTCATTTTACGCGTAAGTTGCGGATGTTTATGATTGGATGTTTTATATTTACGTTACATCTAAAAAGGAGTAAAGGTAAAGTGGATGTGTTTTGATAATTTTTAAATTTTTTCTCCAGGATCTTCAAGACACTCAACAACTTTTGCATCCAAGCAACGTAGACCGGAATGCTCTCATGGAATATGCCCGTGAGGCGGCAGACTTCTCCACAAGCTACCAGCTGCCACATCTGGACTTTGCTGTGAATCACTATGGCAAGCCTGATGTGGCAATGTTTGACTTCACGTCCATGTTCGCAGCGGAAAATGCTTGCAGGATGGTGGAGAGGAGAGGACATAAGCTCCTCTCCGGGCTTGTAGGTGACAGCTTGCTAGAGGTAATGTTTTGTTATGGTTTTATTTCATGTTAGGCCCATGAATTCTCTTGGCAATGATGAAGAAAAAAAAAAGATAGAAAGGATGAAATAAATGAGATTAGTCAGTATTTTGAATTTCTAGTTATGTTTGTTTCATAATGAATATGAATTCATAGTATTTATTCACTCATTTATTTACTTATCTTCTTCTGTTACAGCCTTTCTGGCCGACTGGGTCAGGCTGCGCTCGAGGCTTTCTAAGCAGTTTCGACGCTTGCTGGATGATTCGCTCATTTTCATCAGGGAAAATGATGCCTTTAGAGGTGCTTGCAGAGAGAGAGAGCATTTATCGGCTTCTTGCACAGACTACTCCCGAAAATCTCAGTAAAGGTTAGTTTTAATTGTTATGTTCTTGTGCTTTTTTTGTAATTAGATTTGAGTGTTTAGACTAAAGCATTTACAAATAATCTTGTTTTCTGATTTACTAATCATATTCTGAGGTCCTTAATGAAACTTTGCAATAGTAATACAATAATAATAGAAAGCAAAACATTTACTAATTAATTATTGGCTCTGTTACAGATCACTCTTCATATAGCTTGGATCCAGCGTCAAGATACCCAACCATTAACCTGCGCGCGGTGCTTCCCTTCCAAGTGCGCACTCTGTTCAACACTGACGACCCTGTTCATCTGGAGGAGATAACGAACCCGCATCTGGTCAATAATGATGAGTTGCCGAAGAAGAGGAAACGTAGAGGTGTGTAGTTGGAGAGCACGGCAAACGTTTGGCTTAAAATGTGAATGAGAATTGATATTTTTCACAGGGAGTTATGTAATAGAAGTTTTGATATCATCGTCTTCATCTAATTTGATGCACTACTTACTCATCTAGCTTTTTGAAAATTATTCATCCTCATTCAGTATGCAAAGTAGATATTCAGTAGACGTTCAAGAATACTAATTTATTTATAATGTATATCTTCATCATATTTATCTTGATATTAAACTGATGAATATAATGGATATTAACCTATACCAAGTACAGTAGAGAAGAATTTTAATTCAACAGTAGGGAGTAATCAGAGCCCTCACTTTAGCTCAGGCATGGCTTATCTTTACTTAGAAATATTTGAATCTTGCTTTCTACTAATCTTGAATACTGCTTTTACTCAGTTGAAAAATCTATTAATATAGTTACTTAGACAGAGAAAAAACTTGTACTTTTGATTTTTCCATGTGGTCCTGGCTGGCTCAGCAGTAAAGGGTAAATAATATATTTACTGAATGCATTCTCATAGTTGCATGTGTAGATAGATAGCTTGCATGGTACATATGTTACTTATGGCATCTTTCCATTCATTGTGTTTGTTGCATAAATAAACTATGATCTTGTTTGTTTTCTTTCCATTATACATTCTTCCTCCCTTCTTTCCTCCAGAATGAATGACCCTCTTGGGAAAATTTTCTATACCTTCTTGGTCAGAAATCATTGCATAGTATTTTTTTTTTCTCTCTCTCTCTTTTTCCATAAATAAATGGATATTTACTCTCCTAGCCATTATGGGAGCTTAGCCTTATGTTAAATTATTTTTGCTAAATTATTACTATGTTAATTTTTATACTAGATTGTTAAAGGGATCTCTTATTTAAACAAACAGTTAAAGAAGATAGTTTGATATTCTTTTTATAATGTACTGAACTTTCTTAAGATTTTGCAGTTAAATAATCCTTCTTAATGACTTTTCTTGTGATTTTGCTATTTATGGGTATAATCTGGGAGATAGAAGAACTTGCAACAGATATATTACAATGTTGCCAGGATTTATTAAAAGTGTCTGCTGATAAGGCATGGCATAATCTCACTCACTTAATTACTCACTCACTCAATTACTCACTCACTCAATTACTCACTCACTCAATTACTCACTCACTCAATTACTCACTCACTCAATTACTCACTCACTCAATTACTCACTCACTCAATTACTCACTCACTCAATTACTCACTCACTCAATTACTCACTCACTCAATTACTCACTCACTCAATTACTCACTCACTCAATTACTCACTCACTCAATTACTCACTCACTCAATTACTCACTCACTCAATTACTCACTCACTCAATTACTCACTCACTCAATTACTCACTCACTCAATTACTCACTCACTCAATTACTCACTCACTCACTCACTCACTCACTTAATTACTCACTCACTCAATTACTCACTCACTCAATTACTCACTCACTCAATTACTCACTCACTCAATTACTCACTCACTCAATTACTCACTCACTCAATTACTCACTCACTCAATTACTCACTCACTCAATTACTCACTCACTCAATTACTCACTCACTCAATTACTCACTCACTCAATTACTCACTCACTCAATTACTCACTCACTCAATTACTCACTCACTCAATTACTCACTCACTCAATTACTCACTCACTCAATTACTCACTCACTCAATTACTCACTCACTCAATTACTCACTCACTCAATTACTCACTCACTCAATTACTCACTCACTCAATTACTCACTCACTCAATTACTCACTCACTCAATTACTCACTCACTCAATTACTCACTCACTCAATTACTCACTCACTCAATTACTCACTCACTCAATTACTCACTCACTCAATTACTCACTCACTCAATTACTCACTCACTCAATTACTCACTCACTCAATTACTCACTCACTCAATTACTCACTCACTCAATTACTCACTCACTCAATTACTCACTCACTCAATTACTCACTCACTCAATTACTCACTCACTCAATTACTCACTCACTCAATTACTCACTCACTCAATTACTCACTCACTCAATTACTCACTCACTCAATTACTCACTCACTCAATTACTCACTCACTCAATTACTCACTCACTCAATTACTCACTCACTCAATTACTCACTCACTCAATTACTCACTCACTCAATTACTCACTCACTCAATTACTCACTCACTCACTTAATTACTCACTCACTCAATTACTCACTCACTCAATTACTCACTCACTCAATTACTCACTCACTCAATTACTCACTCACTCAATTACTCACTCACTCACTTAATTACTCACTCACTCAATTACTCACTCACTCAATTACTCACTCACTCAATTACTCACTCACTCAATTACTCACTCACTCAATTACTCACTCACTCAATTACTCACTCACTCAATTACTCACTCACTCAATTACTCACTCACTCAATTACTCACTCACTCAATTACTCACTCACTCACTCACTTAATTACTCACTCACTCACTTAATTACTCACTCACTCAATTACTCACTCACTCAATTACTCACTCACTCAATTACTCACTCACTCAATTACTCACTCACTCAATTACTCACTCACTCAATTACTCACTCACTCAATTACTCACTCACTCAATTACTCACTCACTCAATTACTCACTCACTCAATTACTCACTCACTCAATTACTCACTCACTCAATTACTCACTCACTCAATTACTCACTCACTCAATTACTCACTCACTCAATTACTCACTCACTCAATTACTCACTCACTCAATTACTCACTCACTCAATTACTCACTCACTCACTCACTTAATTACTCACTCACTCAATTACTCACTCACTCAATTACTCACTCACTCACTTAATTACTCACTCACTCAATTACTCACTCACTCAATTACTCACTCACTCAATTACTCACTCACTCACTCACTCACTCACTCACTCACTCACTCACTCACTCACTCACTCACTCACTCACTCACTCACTCACTCACTCACTCACTCACTCACTCACTCACTCACTCACTCACTCACTCACTCACACACACACACACACACACACACACACTCGCTCATTCACACACTCGCTCATTCACTCACTCACTCACTCACTTAATTACTCACTCACTCAATTACTCACTCACTCAATTACTCACACACTCACTCTCACTCTCACTCTCACTCTCACTCTCACTCTCTCTCTCACTCTCACACTCTCTCTCACTCTCACACTCTCTCTCACTCTCACTCTCACACTCTCTCTCTCTCTCTCTCATACATACATACATACATACATACATAAACATACATACATAAACACCTTTATATATGTATATATGTCTTCTTATTCTTTCTTATAATTGTATTTGGGAAATCATATATTAAAGGTTTTTAGTGGAATATAAAGTACAGTGTAGTATCTTTAGTTTCTGTGATGAATATTTTTAAACATTTTCTACCGAAATAAGTTTGTTTCAGAATTATTTTCATCTATCCATGAAATGTTGAATCATTTTGTATCCACTAAAATATGTCAGAGCTAAGTATGGCATAGTTCATTTTCTGTCTCCCTTATAAACCTCATTCCTAAACATTGCTTTCTTTTCCATCAGATTCATTTATACATCCTGATACCTTACTCATTTGGTGCAAGAAACAAGTGGCGCTTTATGACTCTGTCAGTATTGACAATATGACCACCTCCTTTAAGGTATGTTATTTACGCCTTTAACTACCTTTTGATTTTCTTGTTGATAATGATTGTAATTCTTGGGTGATTGTAGTGTTGGGGTTATAACCAACGGTAGGTTAACGGACCTGATGAGGTAACAATGTGCCTTTTTCCAGGATGGTCGGGCTTTGTGTGCTATTATTCATCGCTACCGTCCTGACTTGATTGATTTTGAGGCTCTGCGACCTGAGGATATTGCTCAAAATAATCAGCTAGCATATGATATCTTGGAGAGGGATTTTGGCATCCCACCAGTGAGTTTGGGAGTCTTTCCTTGTTTTGGGCAGATTGAATTTGAACTCTAATTTGACTTTCTATGTTATTTGATTTTGTAATACATAAAAGATATATAAGGAGGTGTGTATTGAACTGTCTCTGTGTTTTTATAGGTAATGACTGGACGAGAGATGGCAGAGTGTGAGATTCCAGACAAATTAAGCATGATTTCATATGTCTCTCAAATCTATGATGTCTTCCGAGGGGAAATTCCCCACATAAAACATCCAAAAATGGTAAAAGAAAGAATAATTATTTTATTGATTTTATGTATATGAAGCTTGATACTGTTTTCCTTGGAAGTGTTATGAATAGATATATATATATATGTCTTTTTATTTTAGGTCAGAATAGATAGAAAAATAGATAAAATATCTTGACTTGATTTGATTTTCTTATGGATTTTCCCTCTTCTAGGATGATGGAGAGATGGAAATTGAACAATCCCACATCCAACACAGCACACCTCATGTCAATATTTTGAAAAATCTCACAAACAAAACCGCCAATGTGTCTCAGGGTACGCCAACCTCTAAGAAGAGATCAACATTAGAAAGAGGAACTCCTAAAAGGTGAGTGAAAAGGCTAAAATTTTGTGCTCATGGATATTTTTGTGTGTGTGTGTGTGAGTGAGAGAGAGAGAGAGAGAGAGAATGAGAATTTTCCTCTTGTATTAGACAGTAATAGGCCTTAGTAGATAGAATTCTCATCTATGGCTTGTGAATCCTCAGAGATGATGGTCGCATCACGTGTCGCCTGGTGGAGGATGCGGGTGGCCAAGGTGGGAAGTCAGACACACTCAAGAAGACAAAGAAACGAAGGAGTGATAGGGTTGTATCTCCACAGGTAAGTTAACCAGTTATTTTTCTACCAGGTAATAGATTCTTCCCAATATGATTTAGTTCAGAGGGAGAGGGAAGAACAGAAATGGAGTTCTAAATAAGATTTCTGCAAGGCATATTTTAGCACTTAGGAAGAAGGTGTTATAGACTGTTGCAGAGAGGACATTGATAATCACCCAGAGGAGGAGGAGGTCAGTAAAGGGATGAAACTGCCTTGTTGAATCCCCTTGCCAGCTGCAGGAAATTTTATCCCTTAACCACCATCAGGACGATCCTGAGTCTCGTCAGCGGCGAGAGGAAATTCTTGCCAACCGGATCGAGCGCTTGAGAAAGCAGAAGGAAAGGCGGGAGTTGGATACCGTGCGCTTCATCCGCTCAATGCAGATGTTGCAGTGCGGTGCCCACCCCCAAGCCCCAGTCCAGGCCTCGTATGACAAAGACGAGGATGAGGGGCTGGTGGAGTACAGGAAGAATTGCCCAAAAACCATGAAAGAAAAAGTATTAGATCTAGAGATGAAACTCAATTACCACTTTGTAAGGAAACGTTCTTGGACTTGGCATGGCGTGATTTTTTTTTGTGACATCTAACGTCTAAGAGTAGCCTAATCCTCATCGATGTTGAGTGGGTAATCTTTGGCAGTAACAACATTTTATCATGTTTTAATTTGTTTGTTTTGATTTTTTTCCCTCTTATTTGTTCTTTCTTTTTAGATGTTTTTAGGGAGTGAGTTGTACACTAGAAAATTTTGATTTGATGTTTTTTGTTGTTGTTTTTTTATTATTATTTACTGCTGTTTTGTTTGTTAACTAATCATGCATTCTCTCATTTAGAGTGTGACTACTGGTAATGTTTTATTCAGATAATATGGTATTACATTTTCTGTGTGATTTCTTTGGTTATCATAAATATGATTTTTTTGTCATTTAGCATCTTTCATGTTAAGAGATATTTAGACATTTATTTTGAGTGTTATGTATGGATTGTATTAGTGAACCTAACAAAGCCGTCCATGCCAACAGGAGAGACAAGGGCGTGATGAGCCACAGAGGAAACCCTTAGTGGACCACAAAGAAGAATTCTCTGATAAGGTCAGAGATCTCGAAGCCAAATTTACTGCCAACTCTTCTTCTCATGCCTCTGATAAAAAGCCAAAGGTCAGCTTATGGTTTTATTGGATTCTCTGTGCACATAGGCTTTTATTGGATTCATGGTGCATTGTTGTTATACTGATAGATGATGATTTTGAGAGAATATTTATGGGAAGTTCAGTTGTTGCTTTACCTTAGAGTGTTCTTATGACATCCATGTGCTTTAAGGTGGTAGGGTCAGAAGATCCTTGCCTTTAGAAAAGCTTTGTTACATTAAAAATTGCAAAAACCTTATTATGTTTAGTTACATCATTCACAGATTCGTTAGAAATTATTTTAAACCTTCAGTTTTTGTAAAATAAATGTTTATACAGTAATATACAAGAAAGTATACTTTAGAATTAAAAAATAAATGTTATTGTATTGTTTGGTGTAAAATGTAGTATACATATAATTATGTGGAATTCCAGATTTTAACTCTTGACCTGATAATTTTTTGTTGTATTTCATCACATCCTCCCTCTATGTTTGTATAATTTACCAGGATACCAATCCCTCTATAGATGTGTCTGTTGATGATTCAAATGGCATTTTGTCTTATTTTTTAAGAATATTGTTGATAGGTACTGAAGTATCATATTTCCATGAAATCAGTACTTTGAAAAATCCCATCTTTCGCTCTCATACAAAGCAGATCTGAGCAAAGGAAAATGTTTTCTTTATTTTTGCTTAATTGTGCTTACATAAGTTAATTTAGCACAAGCACTCAAATTATAGATGCTTCATGTTCACATGTTTGCTGAGCATTGCAGAATCTTTATGAAGGGCCAGTACCTGCACCTGCACACTTTTGCTTCACTTTTAGTTTTCATTATTATTTTTCAGTTTCATAGTCTCCCTTTGTTGGAGTCCATTATACTGCTGTTTGTAGAGTAGAATGAAGAGAAACACTCATGTGAATGATTCTATATTTAGGACCTGATTCGTGCCATTGGTAAGATTGAGAAGTCTGACTGGAATATGGTGGCTATAGAGAAGAAGATGCATGAAGATAGATTTGGCATGGAAGTACAAAAAGAAAGAGAAAGGGTTCCCAAGTGGAACAGAGATGCATACGATGACAAGGCTGACAAGGTAAGTCCAGGATAGGAGAGGGAGCCTTGAACCAGCTTTTATTAGGTTCAGTCTGAGAGCTGAACTTAAGGTTTAGTCTTTTTTTTCTAAATTACATAAAATGCAGAATTATTTAGATTCGTTTTATAATTTCTTTTTCATGAGTTATTTTTAGTTTGTTGATTTTGTAATTTTTCAGTCTTTTCAGTTATATGTTTGTAGCACATCACTTCTTCATTTTTTCTGTTTTCAGAGCTTTGTTATATCCATATGTTTTCAATTTTGATAATTACATGATTATCTATTACATGATATTTTGGTATTCTCACCCCAGTTCCAAAATATTGAGAGGCGACTAAGAGAAAATGGTGAAGATGAAGAGACAATTGCCAAATACAGGGATATTGATGCCTCTCTGAAGCGCTTAGAAATGAAGTTGCGTGAAGGATCCACGCTCGAAACAGGCCTACGCGGACAGAATAAAGTGTCTAACCTAGCATCTCAGCTGTCTTCCAAGTGGGAAAGGAAGGAGACAGAGAAGATTCCAATTACCCGACAAGTAAGAACGGAAGGATTTCTTGCTGGGTTGGGGAGTAGGCTACGTTGGAAGTCACGCGGGACAGATAAGTTTAACCTAGCATCTCAGCTGTCTTCCAAGTGGGAAAGGAAGGAGACAGAGAAGATTCCAATTACCCGACAAGTAAGAACGGAAGGATTTCTTGCTGGGTTGGGGAGTAGGCTACGTTGGAAGG